TGGGAAATATACATCCCAACTGCAGTGAATGGGTTAAATGTAATCCGACATCTATCTACGTATCCCACAAAAAAATTCAATAATTCAAAACTAACAACACAAACCTATTTTACAGTTTTATCACTGCAATGTTTCAGAAGAATAGTCTGTTATAATTGTTTTTGGTGCTCTTTGAAAAGCTGTGTAAAGCTCTTCAGCTTTTCAAAGAGCACCAAAAACAATTATAACAGACTATTCTTCTGAAACATTGCAGTGATAAAACTGTAAAATGGTTTGTGTTGTTAGTTTTGAATTATTGAATTTTTTGTTGGGATACGTAGATAGATGTCGGATTACATTTAACCCATTCACTGCAGTTGGGATGTATATTTCCCAGTACTCCAACCTCCTCAACTGGGACAAATGTTTCCTATTGTTGACACTGTTTACATTCTGAATAATAAAACCTTGTTTGTTTCAAATACAAAAGCATGTTAGTAATCATTATCAATGTTTAGTAAGATGAAAAGTTTCTTTGATTCAGTTTCATTTGAAGACAAGCTAAGTGTTTGTTGTTGTGATAGAAACCTATATGTTGGTTGTTTTATCTTGCTGGTTAAACTTATCATGATCAGCAGTTTTTGACTGTCATTTTAATTCTTGGCCTGTTCTAGAAGTACAATAACAAATTGTAATGTGTATTAATGCTTGTTGTTACACTTAGGAAGGAGATGATAATGAGCTAGTAGATTTCTCATCAGTAACCAAAGGACAGAAGAAAACAAAAGCCAAGCCTTTAGCAAGTGGTCCATTTCTTAATTCAAGTAGTGAATGTTCCTCTGATAGTGAAAGCAGTAGCCAACAGAGCTCTTCATCTTTCCAGAATGGTGTAAAACGTCCTGTTCCTCGAATTAGTAAAGATGGCATGGGTAATGAATTTAAATATTCCAATTTCTAATCACATGTGGTTAGGTGGAAATTTGGAAAAAAAAATTTACTTCTCTTTTTATATTTTTTTTATTATGTAACAATGTTATTTATTATTCATTCTTATATGTAATATATATGTAATTGTTTAATGCAATTTTCTTTATTTTAGCATTAATTATAATGAAGTTTACTCTCAAACCTCCATGCAAAATGCTTTAAAGAAGGTGTTTCTGTTAAAAAAGAAAAGTACACACACACACATATATATGTACCAAGTTAAGTTATTAATAAACTAGTAACGTGTAGTAAATTATTTTGAAATATGTATATATTTTGTTTCCACCATCAGGCGAAATAATTGATTATCAGGGTTATGAACTAATATTAACTCTGTGTGTGTATTTTAATTTGCTTAGCTTAAGAGGAAATAACTTATTTTGAGCACAATCAAAATTTGGATTGGACTAGAAGATGGAAATTAAAGCAAATCCATCTAGTTCAGTAAATTTCTGCTAGTCTTTCCAAAAGCAGCAGTTAAATGAGATATTTTCTGAAGGCTTGCTGACTGATTTTATTAATTAATCTGGAAAAAAGCTATCAGTGAATAGAAAAATAAATAAATAAACATAACCTTAATTGAAATAGAAACAGGCCAAAAGTTACCATATATGAATTGCAAATTTCTTATGATATGGTTGTTTTATTAATATATCATTTTACCAATTTTTTCATGGATATGCCAACACAAAGTGGTCAAACTGATGACTCGTGGGCTACATCTGGCACATGACTTGTTAAATTTCAAGTTTATGTATCAAAAATATTTTACTTAAAGATAAATTATGGCCTTTGAATGTTTCCATCCCCTACAGTCTGACTCTCCATAAGTAAAGGGTTGGCCACATTTTTCTAACACAAAAACATATAGACAAATATATATACTGTTCTTAAGCTAACTTCTCCCGTGCATCAGCTGTAAGTTTTCGGACCTACAACACTAAAATCTGAGGTTTGATTCCCCATGGTAATCAATTGTGGAACTTTTAACTAATACAAACAAACAATCTTAAGATAAATAAGGTTATTTCATAAAGAGACTTAAATTTGGTTGCAGTGCTTGTTGGATGACCTTAATACTACCATTCCAGCCAAATTTCTTGTGTTAATGTACTAAACCTTATACATATCTGCACGGCTCTGCTGCCAGTTGGTGCTTTGGTGATATTTGCATATTTTTATTCATGCAAGTAGATCATAATGTGTGTAAAGTTCAAGAAGGATTCCTGAAACTACATTTATTGTTCAGAACTTATGATCAAAATAAAGCGAACTATATAGGTCAATAGTAAAAATTAACCATGTCAACATTCAAGAACACTAAAAATTAATTTTTCTAACAAGATGGTTGACCTTGGAGTGTTTTGCTGTAATATATCATGGATGCAATAAATGTAAGAGAGTTTAAGGGAATATTTGAATGGTAAGGGATTTTTTTATATACGCATATAGTGGATCTAATGGCCTAGATGGACCAGTAGGTCCTTTGTTGTCCTTAAATGTTGTATTATGTAATATTAATAAAATGGAGTATTAAAAAAAAATAGTGTCATCACTTACAAAATATAACTTTTTGTTTGCTTCTAATATCTACACTGCTTACTAATACTCAAATCCTGAATATAGTTGTAAACACTCATGTTGTATCCTTTTTGTTCGTTCATAGGATCCAAACAGCTTATTCCTAGTGAAAGTCCTAACTATAGTTGTAACAACACGTGTGTATTAGCAATAGTGCACAACCAACAATAATAATAGATGAAAGTTACTAGAAAATAAAGACTAAAAATCACAGAAAAGCTTGGGGGTATTATAATGTGATGGTCAATCCCATTATTCGTTGGTAAAAGAGTAGCCTAAGAGTTGGCTGTGGGTGGTGATGACTAGCTGCCTTCCCTCTAGTCTTACATTGCTAAATTAGGGACGGCTAGCACAGATAGCCCTCGTGTAGCTTTGGGCGAAATTCAAAAATCAAACCTTAAGAAAACATAATATCAGTGTAAGAAAATCTCCAGTTATTTCAAACAATGGTGAGCAACTTGTAGAAATTGACTTTTCAGCCTTAACTTTGTTACTTGAATTAGTTTTGACATCAAAGTTAAATGTATTCTTTTTAAGAGGTTGTATTTTCTGTATATTTCATTGTTTAAATGGTAGCAAATATAGGGTTGAATTTACTGCAGGTGAATAAACTTGATGTTCAAAATTTGGTAAGAGGAACCTTGTTTGTGAAAAGTGTGAGGGAATTGAGTTCTGTCAACAAAATCTTATGATGTTAAACAAATTTTACTATATTTAATGGTTTTTGAGGTGTTGACATTATAATGTATCTGGAATACTGGCATCGGGAAATAGAGAAGTGGCCACAGATTAGAAGTTTGTGATTTATTAAAAATTTTGACTTGAACTTTTGATTAATGTCACTCATATCCCAAACCCAAATAATGTGCATTCTTTTTACTGAAAGAATTCCTTTTCGAGTGAATTGCAAATAAATAGACTTTACAGTGTCAAGAAATCTGGAAAATTTGTAAGAATTATATCTGAAATGTGTGAATAATATGTAAAATTTTGTAATAGTCTTCTTATCAACTTTTGAGCTAAAGCTGCCATCTGCAAGTATTCTTTGTATTTGGCCAACTGTATCAATATATTGAAGTAGAAAAACTTGCAACATATAATAATTGATTTAATATGAAACATTGATAGTTTTTATAATTAATACTATAAAGTATTGTAATAATTACAGTAATATTATGGTCACCTAAGTATTCATTTTTGGGGGGAAGTGTGTGTGTGAACCAGCATTATTTTAGAACTTAAGTTTAATATCTGTTGTTATATTTCAAACTTTTTGAACCATTGTTTCAGCTGTGTGTGAGCGTTGTGGAACTGTTGGAGTGAAACATGCATTTTATTCCAAAACCAAAAGGTTCTGTAGTTTGGCTTGTTCACGGGGCCTACCAAAACCCTCAGGTGGAAAGGTAAGTACAAAATGTTTACTTATTGTACACAAAGATTAACTTCAGTTTCTTGTTGTGTATATACTGTATACTCATGTACAAGGACCATTTGCAGTCTAAATTTGTATTATGAAGATTGTTTGTCTGTAAATAACAAGTGCATATGTAAGGTTTGCAAGTTACTATCAGCTATAGTTCTTATTAGATGTAATGTTTCATCTAGGTAAATGCTGAAATATAATTTAAATTCGCAAGGTTATTACCGTTGTTTTCAGTTGATAAGAAATTATCTGCAGAAGTGCTTATGTATTAAAATATTCACTCGGTAAGAATGGATCATTATCAGTTCTAAATGTAGCCTATCATTGTTGTGGTTAGTAGTCTGTACAGTCACCTGAGTTTAATTTTTAATTAGTACATGATTTTTTAATAGTTAGATACTACAGTAATTACACAATAGTTTTTATGTGATACGCACTGCTATTGAAACTTCATTCCAACACCCACATACACTTATTAAAGAAGTTCACATAGAGAAACTAAATTCACTCATCTATTCTCAAAACAAGAAGCCCCTTGTCACTATAGACACATCTAAATGAACTGTATTAAACTTAAGTAAGGGACTAAACTTTACCCAAACAAATAACGAAATATCCACCTTAGATACAGAAGAAGAAAAATAAAGGCAGTAATCTACAAAGCTAAGAAATGTAAACCCACTATAATACCATCTACAAAGCCAAGAAATGTAAACCCACTATAATACCATCTACAAAGCCAAGAAATGTAAACCCACTATAATACCATCTACAAAGCCAAGAAATGTAAACCCACTATAATACCATCTACAAAGCTAAGAAATGTAAACCCACTATAATACCATCTACAAAGCCAAGAAATGTAAACCTACTATAATACCATCTACAAAGCCAAGAAATGTAAACCCACTATAATACCATCTACAAAGCCAAGAAATGTAAACCTACTATAATATCAAAAAAAAAGAAAAACAAACTGTCCCCAGAAACTTAAAGAAAACACCGGTAGACAAAAAGGAATACTCTATCAAACTCCAATTGAAGATGGGTACTACACGAAGATCAAGTCTAACCCAACTGTTAGCACAAATAAAACCCATTTCTCAAGAAAGAACTTGTAACAGAAACATTCAAACAATACACTATGGCAACATCCCATACATCTATGGTTTACCAAAAATTCACAAGTCTACCCTCTCTGGCCCAAGGTTAACTGCAGAGATTCACCATGCCACTCCTTAGCTAGATATCTTGTACATATAATATCACCATTAAGAGGTAAAACATCTTCACATGTTAATAACTCGGTACATTATAGATATTGTGTGTGTGTGTGTAAATATAAAACATGAAAACCTCACAAGACACAATGATCAGCTTTGACATATCCAGCCTTTTCACAAATACCAATCTCTGACCCCCCACCACCACCACCACCAAAAGTGGCCTAGTGGTAAGTTTGAAGGCTTACAATGTTAAAAACTTGGTTTTCATACAGCACAGACAACTCAATGTGTAGCTTTGGGCTTAACTATTAAAAAAAACAAAAAACTCTAGACACAGAAACAGTTTGAAGCTTATAGAACTCTTAAAGAATGCATCCAACCTACAATCTCTACAATAATCAAAAATAGAACTCGCAACTTTCTGTATGAACACAACCTACAATCTCTACAATAATCAAAAATAGAACTCGCAACTTTCTGTATGAACACAACCTACAATCTCTACAATAATCAAAAATAGAACTCGCAACTTTCTGTATGAACACAACCTACAATCTCTACAATAATCAAAAATAGAACTTGCAACTTTCTGTATGAACACAACCTACAATCTCTACAATAATCAATAATAGAACTCGCAACTTTCTGTATGAACACAACCTACTTCCAATTTGGAAGACAAATACCACCAAACAAGAAGGTCTATCTAGGGACTCATCCCCATCTCCATTAATCAGTAACTTCTACATGTAATATTTTGAAGTTAACATCCTCAAAACAAACACTCTATGCCACAAGATGCAATTTGTCTGTGTTGATGATTCAATCTTAATATGGGCACACACTATAGATAACATCCACAATACAATTCACAATAAAAATAGAGAAAGATGATAAACTCTCTCTCTGTGATATGATGGTTACACAGACTCATAACTCATGTACCACAGAAGTTCACAGGAAAACCACAGATACAGGTAAATAAATACTTTTGCTATACATCCACCCACCCAAACAGTGTAAAGAGAGGCATTATAGACTGCCTAGTTTCCAGAAAAAATAAGATTTGTAATATCAAAGAAGATAGAAGAGAAACATTTCACTAAAACCCTCATTAAAATGTATTCCTGTAAAAACCTGATAAAAAAGAAAATATGTATGATAAACACCAACAATAAACAGGTACAAACATAGTCATGTTCTCCTATGTCAGAGGTGTCTCTGAAAACATACAGAGGATATGGAAACAGCATAAGTCAGAATAGTATTCAGAAGCCACAACATAATATTATCACAATTATTACACAGCAAACCATCTAAAGACTAAAAACATTACTTACAGTATCCCCTGTGAATGTGGATGCTAGTACATTGGAGAAATGAAAAATGACCAACAAAACTGTAGGGTTTAGGAGCATAATAGACATAAAATACTAATTTATCTGCAATTGTCAATCATTGCCATGGAAGATAATTGAAATAATAATAAAATAATAGAATATGAACTGCACATAAGAAAAAGAAGCCTTAATCATCCACCTACCTGATAAAGCTAACATTCTCTGTCAGCCTATCATAGATGTCAGCTAAACCTTAGTTTCCCTTTGAAAATAGTAAATTGTTGATTCGAGTTCGGATGGTGGGAGACCACAGACAAGTGGATAACACACCAGATTTCCATCAAGAAGACCCAGGATAGAAATTTGGCCATTACCAACTAAGAAGTAGTCCTCCTTAGGACTTCTCTAGAAACAGTAACTGATTGACAGACAAAACATAGGCTAAAACTAGTTAGTGATTTATATTTATTTATTTATTGCAAAAACAAATTATTTATATAAGAAGACTTTTGTGATCATATAAGCTACTAACCATGACAGCGATTGATATCTGATTGCTACAACCTTACTGTAAGTACTTAGTTCTGTTTTAATGTAGCTTGAAAAATACATGGTACATGAAAAAATATCTTTACTGGATAATATTGAAATTAGTAAAAAAAAAAAAATTACTTTTATTCCTTTCAAATTATAAACTGAAATACAACTTTTTTCATTTGAAAACTTAAGCATGTAAAATATGGACATGATTTGTTGTATTGTTAGGTTTCTTCAGCTCAAGTCAGTGTGACAAAGAGGCTTCCACCACCACCACCACCATTTCTGAACAAGCCCAAATCAGGTAATTAAAGAAAAGCATGAAATGTATGTGCTGATCTCTTGCTCATGCAAGTGTTAAGTGTAAATGAAAATATTTGTATATGTATAGAGAATGTAAATTGATTTCTATTTTATAAAATTTTGTTTTTTGTTTTTTTTTGCTGAAAAACATTACAAAATGTAAAATTGCCTTTAGAAGTTTGAACTTCTGTATACTAAAAAATTTCAGTAAAATGTATTTATATTTCAAAATCAATGTCTTTGTGAAAAAAAAATATTTTTGTGTCTGTAGGACCACCAACACGAAGCAGTTATGTAACATTTTGCTGAGGGTGCTGTTGGGAGCATTTGGTAGACTTGGATAATGTATAAGAAATATGGATCAAAATTAGTTTCTTTGAGTTTTTTAATGATGAAAAGTTCTCATTAACATATATTTCTCCCAAAGAATTTAACATTAATTTTTTTAAAGAACTGCCATAGTAAGTAATATATATATTAGGTCATCAAGAAATTAATGTCGCTTTTTTTAGATGAAAAAACCCGAACAACTTATATATCAAAATAAAACATTTATTAAATGAAATAGTCTTCATTCTTATTGATGATCCTTTTCCATCTTACAATCAGGTTGTTAATGTCCTGATTAAAG